GTCTGCATGAGAAGATGTTAGTTCCAATTCCATATACGTAAGGACTGATAGTAGTGTAGGTGGTAACAATGAAGAACTCAATTTCTGACCAATTGTCCATCTTAGATGAGTCAAAAGCTAGGTGAAGTACCAGGTACATAATCCAGTCTAGCTGGAAGATACACATTGCTGCCAAGACAGTCTTGGTGCTCTTAGAGAAATAAAGGTTTTGATGATGATGATGCGAAGAGTCATACACATCGGATACAGTTTTCCGTCTGTGGAGGAGAACCTTCAGAATGAGTCCGCTGGTTGCTGTGATGATGAGGAGTGGTATCAGATTGCTGAACAACAGGAACAGTGTCTTGTAGATCAGGTTGATGGCTGGGCAGTTTATTCTGGGGCACTGGAATGGGTCTGTGAGGAAGTTTCTTGACCTAGTGTGATTATCCACACGCTCATCACTTTCTATGAAATAGCCAGGCAGACAGAAGCAGAAAGACAGAAACAAGCTCATTCCACTCAAAGCCCAGGCCGTGCTGGTGTTGTCCCAAGACGTTGGCAGGTTACCCCGAGCCTCTGCATGCCTAAGCTTCTGGTAGCGGAAGACAGATATTAGTACTGTAAAGAAAATGGTTGCTGTCTCTCCCAATGAGGCCATGAACCTCAGGATTTTGAAGGACCATTCTTCTAGGCTTTGGAGTGCGAGCCTGGTCGTGATGTCAAAAATGCTCACCAGAAAGATGCCTTCTAAATTTGAGAAGCTCAGTCCCAGTAGAAATATTTCAAAGGTCTTCATGTGGGAATGACTAAGAATTGAAACTACTAAAGTAATGTTTCCTATGATCCCTACTATGGAGATCAGATATCTGAGCACTAGGAGCACAGGGTTCATTAAATCCATTTGATTTAAATCCTTAAATAGTTATATTGCTGTCTGCTATACTTCTTCTGTCTCAGCGTTCCTCCTCTTAGATGTACCTGTTGTGTTCTAGAGGAAATGGGAATAGCTTTACCACCAACACCTTTTTAAAACATAAAAAACAGGTGAAGCCTATTTGTTCTCCTTTGTTTCCCCTTGGAGGACGTCAGATGTTGATTTCTTGTTGGGTTTTGAGATTTGCAAGCTGCATGTTCATTATGTGAAACAGCACAGGAAGCTGGGGACTGGGAATCACACAGCTGTACATTGGAGTTTCTCAATTTTCAGACTGAAATTGAAATAGTGAGAGGCTGATATTCTACATTTCATATGCAACCATCTCAATATAACCCCCCGTTTTTTGGAAATAAAAAAATAGTCATATTTGTTTTTTTAAGGTTGAAACAATGCAGTTTTGTGGAGATTTGTCTCTGCATTGCTCTCCAGTACCTGAGATGTCATGACACCCCGAAGGCCCCTTGTGAGGAGGGGATGTACTTACACAAGGACCCTGGGGTTACCTTTGCCATCACCACAGGTTAGCAGAGCCCTTCTGTGGATGAATGTTTTAATGAGAGTGTTCTATTTAGTGTCAAGATTTTATTACGCTCTGTTGATTCAATTCTGAAATTCATCTGCTCATTATTGTGCCTAGTCATGCGGAGGCCCTGTGGAAAACAAACAACAAAATAACAAAGAAAGGTATGGACAAAGATGAAAATAATTCATAAAAACAAATCTTATCAATGGTTATCTCATACACAGTATGTAAGCTAACAATATACTTTCCACTGTAGATAATACAAAGACAGAATACACATAGCTTTCTTAACTAGGTACTGTATTTATGTTTCATATTAATTGCACATTCAATTCATTCCAACCTTTCTTACAGAACAGTTGGATGGAGAAAGAAAGCCAACAACTTCCAATTCAATTTCAAAAACAACACAAAGAACAATACAGAAAACCTTGACGCAACCTCATTCCTTGCTTATTCATAAGAATATCTAATTTTCTTAGATCTTAGATGACAAATTCTGGCTAGCAGTAGTACCTGCTACTATACCATACTAATAGTAGCAATCATTACGGTAATTAAATTAATTAATTGGTGAATAATTTAATTTCCCCCTTGATTCTCATACAGAATCAATGATTGATATGAAAATTGAAGTATGTGTTTCATACATAATGGCAGACAATACCATTCAAAATATGTGGCCAGAGTGTAACAACTCAACATGACATGAAATATATTTCTCATATAAGCTTAAACTGTTTGTATTGTGAGGGGGAATCTCCTCTCCTTGGCTTGTTTAGTTTACTACTTACTGTATATGTAGTGCAATCATACTATGCAGATATTTAGTTTTTTAGCTCTTCTGCTGCTGTCCCTCTCTTCCAAGAGGGTCTCCTTAGGAGCTGGATTACCTGACATTGAGAGCTCTGTTCTCTAACACAAAGATTGTGATATTGATTATCCTGACATCTTCTAGGTGGCCTCTGATCTCCATGTCCAAGACCTTGTTTACAATATCAAGGACTTTGACCTCAGCTTCTGGGGTTAAGCCAGTTCTTAGAAGGATAGAATGCAATTGCAACCTTGTTCCCTTGGGGCTAGACCTAAACCCCCATTCCTTCTGCTCTGCCACCATAAGCCTTCCACCGGAGAAAGCTTGTATCAGGTTGTTGGAGGTTCAGACCGTTGCTAGGCAGCAGCTGTGTTAGAGTGCCAATGTGGCCAGAGTAGCAGTCTTGGCTGCAGCATGCTGGAGTCTGGGGCTCTTCAATGGCAAACTGTCTGATGTGGACAGGGCCTCCATGCTTCATGTCCTCACCAGACTGGGACACAGGCTGTGTTAGGGTGAAGGGGTCCTATCTGCCTCAGTCCCCTGGAGACTTCTGCAAGCCCTGGGCTCACAGCTGCCCCATGAAGGGAAGAGTTCATCTTCTCACCACTCAGTTCCTTTGAAGCGCTTGAAACATGCAACCTCATGATCAGCGGTTTTCCTCTGGGACCTCTTCACAGTCCAACTGGCACTTACAAGGTCCCACTCCCAGCAACATGCTGTTGCAGTTTTTTACCTTGAAGATGGTGTTTCTACTGGCTCTCGTGACTGCCCACAGAGCAGGCAAGCCTCGGGCTGTGAAGGTCAGAGAGGCATCTCTACCTTTGGCACTAACTTTACCACAGGCTTCCTTGAGGCCCAGCCTGGTCTACTTGCCCGAAGCGGTAGGTGACCTGTTCTGACTTTCCGCCCTATGACAGTCATGACAGACCTGGAAAAGCCCCCTCTTCTGCTTCTCCAGTTCCTGTGCAAGGCCCGGACATCCGACATGCCTCTCTGTCCTGTTCCTGGGACTCCGGTGGCAAGACACCTCAGCCAGAGCTCGCTCTGAATCTATGTTGTTTCCCACTGGCTCACCATTCACATCCATCTGGCATAAGAGACTGTGGCAACCTTTGCCACCTCCACTTTTCGATGCATTCCAGAGGAGCCCAGTGCACTTCCTGGGCTCTCCTTGATGGCACACAATTGAAAGATACTACACCATGATGACACAAGCCTTGCTTTCCACGTGGGCCGGATTCTATGTCCTGAACATGCTGGATGCCTCACAATCCTCATTCAGAGCCAGGGTTTCACAATGCCCTTCTCAAGCACCAAGAACATCCTTAAGCTTGTGCCCACTATACTTCAATCATTTTATGATCAGATTGTCAGTAGGGCAGGTGATCCAACATATTTCAGTCGAAAAGGCTGGTATCACTCCAGTTAAAAAAAGAACAACCCCCTTGAATGCACAAATTACCTGTATAAGCACATTCAGCCTCTTACACACATCTTTTGCAATAATGCAATCCTTTAATGTACATGCATGGAAATATAAAGTACTGTATTCCAGATGAATATTTTGGCATCACCCAGTAAAGAAATTGAGGCAGCCCTAGTGAGTATGTATTATCTGTATTATCATGAACATAATCCAGTTTGTATTTGTTCCAGAAGTGGTGTTGTGGGGTTGAAGTGGGACACTCTGTGTGTGTGTTGAGTAGCATGCTGCCTGCATTGTTAATATAAACCACAGAATAATAAATAATGCACAAAACCTTATCAGTGATTGGTACTTGGATTGGTACAATGGGGAAAACAAAATTATTCACCAATTTATTATTAGTAACATAATTATTATTATTAATATCAATAATAACAGCAGTAATATAATAATAATTGTTCACATATAGCACTTTTTTGGACACTCCACTCAAAGCACTTTACAGGTAATGGGGACTCCCCTCCACCACCACCAATGTGCAGCATCCACCTGGATGATACAATGGCAGCCATAGTGCGCCAGAACGATCACCACACACCAGCTATCAGTGGGGAGGAGAGCAGAGTAATGTAGCCAATTCATAGAAGGGGATTAGTAGGAGGCCATGATTGATAAGAGCAGGACGCTGGGGTTACACCCCTACTCTTTACAAGAAGAAACCCTGTGGATTTTTAATGACCACAGAGAGTCTCATACATCTCATCCAAAGGACAGCCCCTGTTTACAGTATAGTGTCCCCATCACTATACTGGGGCATTGGGACCCACATGGACTGCAGGGTGAGCACCCCCTGCTGGCCCCACTAACACCTTGTTACAGCAACCTTAATTTTTCCCAGGAGGTCTCCCATCCAGGTACTGACCAGGCTCATACCTACTGAGCTTCAGAGGGCTGCCAGTTGTGAGTTGCAGAGTGATATGGCTGGCGGTAAATGGCTCCTAGTATCAGCATGCTTAAATATAACTATCTGTCAATACTATCTATCAACAGCGGTTTCAAATTAAATCGTCTTTTAAAATAAGACCAAGACAAAGTGCACATTTACAAATGCATGACATGATTTTTAACATAATTACCAATATTTAATTAACACCGTTATTTTGTTAATTCAATTATCATCTTTGCATTTTGTAAAACTAAGAGGATTTACAAATAAAGAAAAGTGAACAATAACTAAGTTATGACAGGACGTAGTTCGGGCTGAATCATTATCACATCTCGTACAGACCTAGGTGAGTTCTCGCTGTTCAGTCGCAGGCGCGTTGTTCAGCAAATGCGCAGGCTCCGCATCGCTGTAGGCGGATCTGTGCATGCGCGAACGTCATTCACAACACTGGGGAAGACTCTTCGGTACACCGGCTCCAGTTTGACAATGTTGGCGGCTCGGAGAGCATTGCTGTCCGGTTACAGGAGTGCTGCTGTGTGGAGACGCGGCTGCGCTGGCTCAGCAATTCCTATAGATGATATTGTAAATGGGCTAACAGATGAGCAGATCCAGGTAAAAAGAGCAAACCGAAAAACCGCCATGACCAGCAAATACCAACGACCGCTCACAAAGTCTGCAGTGGCACAGAGAAGAGGGGCTTCTTGAGCCGTCTGGGAGGAAAAGGCTGTTTTAAACCTTTAAATTAGGTTTGCGGAGAGGAGGCAGATCTTTGTCGTGTCAAAACAAAGTTATGCACTGTAACTCAGAAGCGATGAAAGCGGTCAGCAGTATTCAATGAGATACACTGTCGAAACCAACACGATCCTCTGGCGATGCATACAGAGTTGTTGCAAGGTTAATCGAACAAGCAGTGGGAAATCATCTGTAAGCACTGTTTTGTGTACGAGTGTTAAAAGAGGAGATTCTCCGGGCCCACGAGTTTTGCACGTTTGCAAACTTCCCTTCTTTTCAGGGTATTGTGTAAAATAATAAGAGGAGAACCGTGCAAATATGCAAACCCCTCCCCTGTTGTGTTGTTACATTCCTTAAATAAGAATTGGTTCATAATGAGCCGATTTGGTTGAGATATTCAACTATAATAAAGTTCTGAACTATAGTTATATGTATCAGTGTACTGCACTATGTGGTACGCATAGGTGAAAAGTTTGCTGTTGTGTTTAGTTATGGCTGAACTGCAGTTGTGTAAACATTTTATATAAGCTTTTTGTATGTTGTGGCAGCTTCATAGTACTTCTTCCTATGAATAAAAAACCCTGCTTTCTATGCTAACGCATATGTAACGAAAAAGGTACACAGAACGGGTCTGCCCTCTCTGAAACCCAAGTGCACCATGAGAAAGTAAGTACACAATTATTGTGAGATTGTGCAACAGCACCATCAGGGGTTAATGTAGGGGTCACGTGAAAGGGGGCGGGTTCGATTTGCGCTCTTTGATTGGGCGGAGTCTCTGATGCCTTTAGTGCCGTGTGTTCAGTTCACTGGAACACCAGGACCTTGAATGTGACCCTCGGCTGTCAGCGATGTGATTGAATCGGCGATGATGCTAGCCTGGGATTTGAGATTAAAGGGTGTTTCAATTTACTGGTGTCTTCAGAAATGTTCTACAGATGTAATGATGACCGCAGGCTGTTTGGAAGTTGGTTCTCTCGGGAATAAAGCACTTGCTAGCGGTTTCTGTGAAGAATTAAGTCAGCACATTTTTTCCTTCTCTCGAGGAAAGCTGAATCACGGTTACTGCAACTTCTCACTGCCTGTGTTTTAACAGTACTTGCGTGATTAGGCAATGATTTGCTTGTTGTAACCTATTCACAGTGTATTGCAATTTGCAGAAAATGCAAATTGCTGATAATGTACACTTATATAAGTAAACGTGATAGTGAACTTAATACGTATAAATAATAAGTAATTGTGTTACTTTTTAAATTTATTTCTATCTGTGCCCCAATCCACTGGTTTACTGTGGTACCTCATTTCTACAGTTCCAGTTAGACATACTGTATGTAAAATTACTATTTTGAAAACAGGTGTCCAGGGTATAGAGCTTTTGGTTTCTGTAAAGGTGTTAAAGTTTTAGCTTTTATTAGTCCTTAATATTTAAAAGGGATTTTTATAATTTGGGGATAGAAAGAATCAGTGCGAAAGAGTGCATTTCAAACCACTATGAAAGTAAAATGTACACATTACCATGGAAAATCTCCAATTTATATCACAAAATAAACAAAATTTCCAGGTAAGTGCATCGCCATGATCTGCTATTGAGAACGAGGCAACAAAACTTCCAGTAACGTAAAGTGGCCCTATTACACTGTATACAAGCAGGCTTGTCAATACATCTCTTTTAATCCAACAGAAGTACCTTCTCTCGACTTCGAGACAGTTTTACAGACGAATACTACTTGTTAACTCTGCACGCAGATCACGTTGGAACATTTCTGCAGTGAAATCCCTGCTGCACAACCTGTACTTACTCGATTGTACTTTAGTCATTATGGTGACTAGTGAGCAGGAAGGGCCCCATCACGTCATAATTCATGCTAACTCTGGACAACATGATGACTATACAGTACTTTCACGAAGTTCAAGATTTTGTGCTTGATTCGGAATTTGTAAAACTTTGTGATACCGTCAATTAATTTGTTTTGTTACTGAGACTTAATAACCGGTCTGAGAAATTGGGACTGTAGTTCCCCTTAAAAAAAAATGGGAGATGAAGTCAGAAGCCATAGTGGATGTGTTTACTTATGTTTTTTACCCTTCATGAGAGAGGCAATGTGCACTGATTAAATACTGTACAAACCTAACACTGTAGGTCTTGTAAAGGGGAAAGTGTGTCTCAAGGATTCATCTTCTGAGCACTGAAACACTCGTTGTTTTTCTTCCAGCTCAGACAGACCCTCCAGAAGTTCTGTCAGGATCACCTGGCCCTCAAAGCTCAGGAGATTGATAAGAACAATGAGTTTAAAGAGATGAGGGTGAGTTTGATTAAATTAAAGCTGTCAGACTTAATTCAGTCTTGAAATGCATTGTTTACAAGCTACCTGGCACTATCAAAATAATTCACTTCTGTTCTTGTAAGCTACAGTTAGGATTAATTGATTTTTTGTAAATGGTTTATTGACTGGTGGGTGATGTGCCCTTTATCTACCATGCTACTTATTGTATTTTTGGTAAATGTATACAGGCAAGTTCCATGTTCCTTTAATGAGTACAATTGATTACATCTGCTTTGTGTGTTACAATGTGGACACTTCTTCCTGTCATTTCCAGGAGTTCTGGAAAAAACTTGGGGACCTCGGAGTTCTGGGGATAACTGCACCTCGTGAGTTCCTGCTGTCTGACACTCCTACAGATGCAGAAAGAATCAGCTTTGTTGTCAAGACCATGACATATTCTGGACTTGGCTGAACTGAATTTTTTTTTTTTCCCAAAACCCAAAGCAATCTGATTGATGGTATTCAAAACTGCTGCTTTTTAAAATTTGAACTGTAGTCATAGAAGGTCTGAGCTATTGTTCATTTACATATCTAGGCAAACCTTGGACTAATTAAATGAACACATAAATCCAAGCTACCTTGCGATGCAGCATTCTGAAAATGCAGTTTTCTCATTAATCATTTCTCATTATTTGTGTGGAGAAAAAAAAACTGAAAAGAAACTAGAATGATGTTCTGGCAGAAACGGTCCCTGGGCTCTTAGAAAGGCAATTGTTTTTAAAATGACACTTGTCCATTGCCTGATGCTTAAGATTTGTTTCACTTGTTTTTTTTTTCTTTTTGGTTTTGCGAGTTGTTCTGTGCTGGACTTGAAAGAAGTTTAACCCTTTCTGCACATCTGTCCTAGTGGAGCTTGGTGGCTCGGGTTTGGGCTACCTCGATCACGTGATTGTGATGGAGGAGATCTCGCGTGCGTCTGCAGCAGTGGGACTCAGCTATGGGGCTCATTCTAACCTCTGTGTCAACCAGCTAGTCCGCAATGGCAACCAGGCCCAGAAGGAGAAATACCTGCCCAAGGTGAGTTGGAAACTGATGGGAAAATGGGAATCAATTAAGACAACAGAGCTTACTTGAAGGTCGTTTCAATAGCAACAGGTATGGATGATAACTGGCTTTCCTGTTCAGACGCAGTTCTGACTGAAGTTATACACTGTATAGTGTTCAGTGCATGTCTCTTTGACATTACTCTTACTGTCCTTTACAATTTGCTTGAAAGTGAAAAGATGAGCCCGGAGTGTTTTAAGATAAACTTTCCTAAATTGATGGAAAGGTTCAAGTGTGGAGAATGAAAGCACAAGCCTTGCAGAAGCCCCCCAAAATACCCCCTTAGCTGTGAACCATGGTTGCCTCTGGAACTGGCCCCAAAACTTATGATGGCCCCAGTGCTTCTGGTCACTTGAAATCACTGAGATGAACACAAAGTATGTGTGTCTTTTTTTTCTAAATATATTGACAAAATATTTCCATATATTATATATGTACAATGTGGAAATCTGAAATTAGACAATATATTATTATATTGTACATATCAGTCACATTAATCTCGTGATCACAAATATACATGTGAATTGTTTAACCGCATGAGTGTTATGGCCGTTTTGAACCAGTGGATGAGATTTAGCAAATTGTTTTGTTAAACATTCTCCCCTGTTAGAAGAAAAATGCAGTTCCAGAGGTTTATGAAATCCATCCTGGGTGCACTGCACGTGCCAAAAGACATTTTCAATGAACAGTGTGAGTGTACCGGAATCTGATCAGCAACAATACGTTAAGACCAGAAAATTCCCTTCCAGAATGATGCCCACATGTCAGGTTACTGGTTCCTGCATTCTTGTTTTGATACCCACTTGAGTTTATTGCGATAAAGGGGATATTCAGGATCTTGGAGTGAGTACATTTATGATACAGTGTACGTTTGCTGATGTTGTTTTCCCTCCAGCTTCTGACTGGGGAACATATCGGAGCCCTGGCCATGAGTGAGCCCGGCGCTGGTTCTGATGTCGTGTCCATGAAGCTAAAGGCAGAAAAGAAAGGTGGGCGGAGGGGCACAAGGACAGTCGAATAAAAAAAAAAAAATCACATTATTTGCCAGTATTTCCCTCAGCTGCTTGAGTTTCTTTTTTTTGCCCCTTGTTTGGAACTGTTCTTCCTCCTTGCTGTTTCCAGAATGCTAGATTCATTGCGTAGGGGGGATATGGGTTGAAATCCCAGTTGAAGCACTGCTCTTATACCCTTGAGCAAGGCAAGTGTAATCTGCTTTGTACAGAAGTATCAGTTAAAATAAGAAAGTTTATCTGTGCCTGAAAGACATAAACTGGGAGGTAAAGGCAGTGATGATTATGGAACAGTCACTGGGTGCTGTCAAGGACTAAGAGAAACTGGTCTGGTTAACTTGTACTGTATATGATTGAATAGGTCATTTGTGTTGTTTGTGGGATTTGCATTGTTTTCAGGGTTTGTTTTAATTGTAACGGCATTTTTCTTCTGTTACAGTACATTGTTGATGAGAACAACAAAAAAGGTCTGGGAAGCAGGCGATATTGTAATGCAAAAAAACTACCCTTTCAGTTGTTTAGACCGTAAATAAAGAGTGCTTTGACTGTGCATTTGGTATGACTTGGTAGTTGTGTCTGTTCTGTCTAGGAGATTACTACGTGCTGAATGGCAATAAATTCTGGATTACGAATGGACCAGAGGCAGACGTGCTTATAGTTTATGCTAAGACAGAACCAAAGGCCCAGCCTGTCGCTCGTGGAATCACAGCCTTCATTGTGGAGAAGGTTGGTGGACTTGATCTGTGAAATGCGGTCTACCCATACATTGCTGTTCTTGCAGAAACAGGTCATTTGTGGTATTCTAGAGGAGAAAATGTCCCCATTTGTAGCACAGACCATACTTACTGTATGTAATCATGTTACTTTGAGTTCAGAAAGATCCCTCAGCACTATGACTCTGTTTATCAGAAATCTACTAGTTCCTGGTGATCTTTAGACAAGAAGCTAAGATGATAAGCCCTAAATATATAGATGTTGTTTACGTTCTATAAGGAGGCAATCTGGTTCATCTTGCTTCTTTGAGCTACACCCTTTTTTGTTAAGAATGGCTTCCTGTTTACAGTCCTAAAGACAAATTTCCACAGCAGTGGACAATAAAGTATCTATCTAAAAAGAACTGTGACTTCGTATCCAATTGTATTTCCAGGCCCTTGTCAAACCTCGATGACCCAGAAACACATTATTGTATTTATTCATTGTTATGTTGTTATTATTTAGAATTTTGAATACTTGTATCAAGGCCCCTTGTAATCTCCTTTTTGCCATGTAAGAGTTATTCTAATCTGTATGTGACATAACATTTAGGTCAGCCATTCAGTGACCCACTCTTCTATGAATCAGATTTCCATGTTCCGTGTATTTTTCCATAGGAAATGCCAGGGTTCAGTACAGCACAGAAATTGGACAAGCTTGGAATGAGGGGCTCCAGCACCTGTGAGCTCATCTTTGAGGACTGTGAAGTGCCTGGTGAGGATCACAGATTATTGTTTCTCTCCTCAAACCAATCTCTGCTGTTTATTTGTACGTATACAATGTAGATGTAGGAATGATATTACTTAATATTTGTCCAGTATCTTACTTTATTATGGTGTATAGTGTGCATAGCATGTTCCTGCTCTAGGTTTGTGTAAATGTATGGGGATATCATCTTTAAAAAGTCTTGAAATTAGTCTGGAATATATAACTGTGATGACTGGCACAGTATATGATGAGCATCATGTCTCCATTTATTAAATACATTTAAAAATGCCTAAATGCCTCCTCATTAGTTCAGATTGCTAAACTGAACAGAACATTTCCAGCACAGTTTCTAATTTATAGGCAGAACCATGTGAATTTATTGACTTTTAGGGTCTCCTTTGTGCATTCAAAGGGTAGGGGGAATGTGATTTTTGCTTCAAATTCAAATTGTGATTTTTGCCACTTTCCAGTTTTCTTTGAGGGTATAATGAATGGCCTGTTATTCTTAACCAATGAAGTACCCTGTCACAGAGCTGTCAGACGTGTAGTCTGCCTGCCCTAAGGTCACCCTGGTACCTCTTGACCCAGAATGTTTGTACTGCCTCTGGCTGAAGAGGGCCCTGAATTCCATGCTAATGAGGAAGCATTGTAAATGCATTATTCACATGCTAAATAAATTACTCTCCTTGTAAACATCTGGAATGAGTAGAGCAGTTTCAGTGCAGTATATTCCATTTTATCTACGGTTTCTTTTACATTTCTTTCTCTCATGATCTTAAGTGTTCTTTTGGCGTAATGGGACAGATACGCTGAATGGAGTCCTCTCATTTATAACCTTTCCTTTGTTCTGTTCTAGAGTGCTGGTAAGCTTCTGCAATGCAGGCTTGAAAGGCTGTGCATGTCAAAAGCAATGTATTTCTTTCTGTAGTTTCCAGATATGCTGGGGAGCTGGTTTCCTAGGGTCCCGTGCTGCCTATCTGTCTTTCTTTATCTGTCTCTTCCAGTTTTCCTAATGGCTTTGTAGTCATGCTGAAGTTTTTATCTTTCAGGGCACACAACTCTTCTGACCCCTGGCAGTGCGAACCTGCGGTATTAGATACTTTCGCGTTTCATTTTGGTTCCCTTCATGCTGAAAATATGTTCTGCTAATCCACATCTCTGCATGCAAAAGATGTTTAAAATCCTGGAGAAACAGAATCTAAAGTCTCTCAACAGTCAAACATCTGTTGATTTATGTTGCCTGTTATCTTTTTTTCCTGCTAAGTATCTTGAGTAAAAGTTGAGGTGGAGTTGCCCTCTCTTTCTGCTGGCCTCTGGGTCTTCAGGCTGGCATGAGCGGACAAAGGCAGTTCAGTGATGTTTCCTCAGCTCTGCACTCTCTGGAATTCAGTCTTGTGTGCTGAAGCTGACTTTGAAATTGTTTGTTTTAGAGGAGAACGTCCTGGGGCATGTGAACAAAGGTGTGTACGTGCTGATGAGTGGACTGGACCTGGAGAGACTGGTGCTGGCTGCGGGGCCTTTAGGGTAATCTCACGACCTGAGCTTTGCTCATCTCAAATGCTGGAGGACATTTAACTGTGATCCTTAGTTCTGATTAAGAGTGTCATATGATGTGTTTTTAACGTTATGTCTTTGTTGATGACAATGGTGATGTTGACGCTTCGGACCTGAATGCATTTGAATACATTTCCTCCCTAAGGCCTCTATTTGCACAGGCCTCTTGCTTTGTTTAGTGGATGGCGGCAATTTTATTGAAAGGAATTAACATTCCCCCTTTTGTAAATATGAGTTAATGAAATCAAGAGATATTTCATTCCCCTGTCTGTTTCTTTTTTATTAAAGATTTTCAGTTCAGTACATATAGCACACAGAAGCTTCCTCAATGTATTCTAGATATGTTTTGTGAATAGCCATTCCAGTGTAAAAATGAATTGCTTAAGAATCGGTAGGCTATGCCAGTCCTTCAGTATTGTAAATGATATAGTTCTCAGCTGGCTTCCTCACTGAGTTAAATGCCCAGTGAACAGGAAGGTCTCTCTCCCCTTTTCCCTTCCAGGATTATGCAAGCTGTACTGGATCATTCCATTCCCTACATGCATGTCAGAGAGGCTTTCGGACAGAAAATTGGACACTTCCAGGTACACAAAATCACAGGAATGCCTTACTCCTTAAGGGTTCACTTGCAAAAGCTTTAGAGCAGTTATTTACAAAAATGTTTAGGAAATTACCCAAAGGGGTAGTACATTTAAGTGGAAGTCTTTTTCTCACCAGTTTCAGTTGCACACTATGTGAAATTCACATTTTGATACTGAAAAGAAAACTGAATGTCAGAGATGTATGCTACCTGTTGATAAGAAGGGGCAGCTCATAGTACTTGGCTGCAGTAGGTCTCTGATAAAGACCAGATTGAAATGATACAGTTTGGAATGATGACTGGGTGAGTTTCAGCTAAAACCCTAATAGTAAGGTTTTCTTAATCTCTAAGGAATATGAAAAGGGCATTGTAATACTTCAGGTGTGTTTTTTTCATTGTAGTAGTAACCATACAGCAGCCCGAACACGTCCTTAAAAAGAAAGGTGGATGCTAAATTTTCTTTTCTCTCCTTCCCAGCTTCTGCAGGGGAAGATGGCTGACATGTATACCCGCCTGAGCTCCTCTCGGCAGTACGTCTACAATGTTGCACGAGCCTGTGACAAGGGGCACTTCAATGCCAAGGTGAGCGTCACTCAGCAGTACCCTGCTTCAAAACAACCTTCAAGCCTCTGTCCCCCATCTCTCTCCTTTTCGCTCACAAAGGGGAATATATTTGATGTATTAACGAGAGTAATACATCCAGAGCAGGGAAAACATTGTAGACAGGTAAGGAAGAAGAAGAGTTGCCAGGTAGTTCAGTTTGGATTGGAATTTAGACCAGTGGTTCTGGCATGGCTGGTTCAAACCTGGATTGTGTCAGTAGCAAACAGTCCAGGATTTCCCAAAAGGCAAAGCACAGCTGACTGACCACATTTGGGTTGGCTTGCGATAGCCAGGGTGTCGTCTGTAGGTCATATGACATAGCAGAAGCTTTCAGGATTGTAGTTTGGTCAGACTCACACCAGCTCTGTTGGAGGCAACCCGTGCTGCAGGCATGCTGGGATTGTGTGTAAGAATTGGGTGTCTCTGACCGTTCATGTTTTAAAAGGTTTCCCCCCTGGACATACACTTCTTGTGCTGACACATGCTGGGGGATTGCAATAAAACTGAGTTAACAAGCATCAATTCTAATTTTAAAACAAATGAAGGAGGGAGCCCAACACTGTTGACCATTTTTTAATGATTCTGGCAGGATTGCGCAGGAGTGATACTTCATGCTGCAGAAACAGCCACGCAGGTGGCTCTAGATGGAATTCAGTGCCTTGGTAAGTGATGGTTAGAAGCATGCTGAAATCACATTATATACCCTAAATTCCACCTTGAAGGGTTTTTGTGTGCACTATGAAATATTATCAGTGTTATATAGGAGTGAAAGAGAAAGACCCTATTTTGTGGAACTAAAAGCTTAGACTGGCAATATTGTTATGGTAAACTGACAAGGCCCTGCTTGTTTATTGGCATTATTGTGTACACTAGACAAGGTCTCCACAACGCCTTGTTTAAATTAGGCAGACGCTTTGTAAAACTACAGAGTGCACATCACTAACTGTGGAACGCTAATTCCAGACCTCTATACAAAATGTATTTGGGGACTGATGCTTTTTGTACCATAGTCAAATATTAAGGTACGCAAAAGGAAAGTGTTTTGTATGTTATTAAGCAGTTTCCATCTGTCAGTTCTACATCAAATTGCTTATTCTCCTATTGCAGGTAGAATTTCATGGCTTTCATTTACAAACGTGTAATGTATATCCAGTGATTCTCAAAGGAGTAGGATTCATAATATATCTCAAAAAGCACATTCAAGAAGAGCAATGAATTGCAGGAATTAAAAGTTATAGCGTACATGTACCAGTTTGATAAATTGGAGGAAAACCTTCAAGTAGGTAATCCTGTAAATACTTTAGTAGTCAAACCTACTTTTAATGTAAACCACCCAGTGTTTTAGAAATGAATCACTGAATAAGGAAATTGAAGGCGCTGGCCTTTAGGACTGAGGACTAATGTGTGTGCTGAATATGATATCTATAACAGACAGTTTTTTTGTCTATCTGATCTAAATCTGTAGGAGGAAATGGCTACATCAACGATTACCCCATGGGCCGGTTTCTACGAGACGCCAAGCTGTATGAGATCGGCGCAGGTACAAGTGAAGTCCGCAGGCTCATCATTGGCAGGGCCTTCAATGCGATGTACAAGTAAACCACAACTGCTAACAGCACAAAGACTTACACAGCACGCTGCTCAGCTGCTCACAGCAAGAGGCCTTGGTGATTAACGATGAAACAGAACTGTGAAGAATCGCACATTTTTCATCCAGTACCGCAGACCTTGAGGATGAGGGGTACAGCGTCATCACTTCTTGAAAAACAAAATGCAGATGTAGTAATTTCCCTCTTTATTTTCACAAAAGTGGAATAAAATATTTTATGCTAGAATCTGATATTTTGTTCACCCTGGGGCCCTGGGGTGCTGATATAGTGTGCGTTCCTGCGTTCCATATCGTAGCAGAAGTGTCTAAATCAAAATTATGGAATATAAAACAAAAATGGGATTAAGAGATTAAATAATGATTTTCAGATGTTAACAATAGGTTCTGCAGCATAAAAATATGTTTGCTATTTGTAATCTGTTATACTGTATCTTTCTTTGATAGTATGGTAGGCTTTCTACTTAGTCATAACCACTATTGTTAATTTTCTGAACTTTAAATATTTTAGGATTACTACTTACTGTAATAGCTGCCTTGCAGTGGCATTCACTCACACACTCTCTGCTGTGACTACTGTAACTATGGCATACAGTACATACATCACAATTTATTTGCATTATAGGAAGGCTTTGTTAACATTTTACTTTGACATGCACAAAATCTCGCTACCTTGGGGGAGAATTCTCCAACAATGAGTAACACACTACACTGAGAATTCACATTCAGTGCTTGTGATCCTGCAAGCTTCACATACATTTGATAAGCAAAAGTCTCTCCTTGGTCAGTATTCACGTGCAGGACAACACATGGTCAGTGATACTGTTCACAGATAATGGATAAGTCTTCCACACTTCAATTTCTTCCTTTTTCTATACAATCCTGCTCAGCTGTGCTCCTGATAAACTGACAGGCAATAAAAGAGTTAATATTTTATTAGTTGTTTGACTTGTTGGAATTGCAAACCCCAATATTGGACACATTGGGCAAAAGAAACTCTTTGTTTTTTTTTTTAAAGAAATATTTTTTTACTGTTAACAAAATTACGAAGCTTTATCATCCCTTAATTATGTGCAAGAACTCCTACGTAATGCACCACTACATTACTGAGCACCTTGGGAATCCAGGCCTTCATATGATTCTGAAGAAAAAATATTGTAATCCATAGCTGTATTACAGTAGGTGTATTAAATTCTACTGGATTTGTATTCTGTAGCTGAATAGATTTAAAATAAAAATATGATTTAAATGAATATCATCGTATTTACATATCTACATTTTTATATTTCAGAATGACTTTTGTGACCATTTTGTTTGTTCTTCAGGCACCATTACAAATGTAAATTATATTTGGTGTTTAGAAGAAAATGCAGAATAAAAATATATACAGTACAGTACAATGGTGGTTTTAGCCCTAAGTTAATGTATTAAGGTGTTTGTATCTGAAATGAATTCATTACCATATAAAAATGGAACTGCATTTCTTTATTGGAAAGTGATGGAGACCCTGGATTTTTTGCTGTCTGTAAAGCCTGGTACTGTAAATACTTAATTTGTGATTTTCTTACAATTGTGTGACGCATATTTGAATTCCATGACTCCTCATACAGGCATTATTCAATACATTTGGAAACAGAATAATAAAAAATGAAAGAACAGAAGGCAAGGCTGTGTGTTGATGTGAAAGTACTGTATAAACTGAGCTAAGAAGACATCTCTACAGTATATACCCTGTACAAAGAATACAGGAGTATTGATCAAACTATGCCAAATGTAGGAGTTGATTCCCTGATATCTTTCAAAACATAGCTGGCTTGAACTGGATCAGTAATTTTTTGTGTTCTGAATTTTTTCTGATGACTTTAGGTTTATCAAAAATGTTTAACTAGAAGCATGGGTTCGAGTGTGAATATGTTGGCCGTGATTTGTATCAGGACATCTGGCACAAAGGGTGGGCTTGTCTGAAGAGACTGCCTACACTGTGACCCTGTGTGCGATAACAGCGATCTTAAGGTGGTTGTAACTAAAATATATTCTAACTTAAAAAAAAAAAATCTAACAGGCCCTTCTGTCCTCAGCTTGTTGTACAGTGTAAGTTGTTCTCAAGTTAAAAATTCTCAATGAAAAAACAGCAAGGTGGCATTATTATTGTCATTATTGTTTTTATAAGACAGGTGTTGAGCATCATGGTGTTGTTTTAGTTATGTGTTCCCACTGAATTGAGTATTCCTTTTAATACAGCTAGTGTGTGTAGGGGGACTGGCTTGTTTTACATCCTCTCCTGTGGATGATTGCACAAAGGGAAAATGTTAAAGGATAGAGTTTTGCTTACTGTAGAAAAACTGATCTTCATACCTAAACGTTTCTACCTGCAGGTCACCTTCACTCCCTGACAGCACCAACAGCTTTTACTGTACAGGCTGTCTTCCTGTTTCCAGCAGATTACATAACCTGAGCAGTGAGAAGAAATGTTTGTTTACTTACGGCTTAAACTGAGCCTTTTCTTTTCTTGAGGAGAGTGATGTAATCTACCCTGCTTTTACACAGTCCCTATATTGTTCAGGGTGCCTTTGTCCTGTGTAACTGTTTTTTATACACCTGGTGTGCATGTTCCTTCATCAAGACTATCATCACAGCAACAAGGAAGATAATACTTCCTAGGAACATTTTAAGTAATTCTCCACTGTTTTTCAGGGTATTGAAAACAATTTATATACAGAGAAGGTTTTTTAAATTCATTTTTAACATACAGTATAGTTAGGAGAAGTGGGTTGTCTGCCTGATAAGAGTTGTGTTGACGTATCCTTTTGTCATCTTAAAATAATTGGGTTTCTAAAATGTTTTTGTTCACATCTTTCCTGTTTTAATGAAGGAAATATGATAGTTTTCTCTTTCCTTCATTCCTTAATGCTGTCATTCAGATTCCTAGTGGTGGTTGTTGAAAGAGGGTAGTCATTTAAATTGTATTTTCAAATACTACCTTTCTAAATGTGTTTTAGGCTGATATAGCTTACAACAGAGGAGAAACCATTGAAAACATCAGGTTTCCCAAGATGTGATGTCCTGCCCTTTCCTTAATTTTCAATATTGTTTTCAGTACCATTGAACTATGATGAAGTTGAAATATTTGGAGGGAGCAGCCTTCCCTTTCCAGTTACCACTTATGGTTATAAACTAACGGATGAGCTCCAGCAAAATTGGAATCAAGTCTTTGCAGGCAGTGATTTTGGGAATTGTAAGCTGTTTAATATAGCCCACAGTGACACTGTATGACGCACGTCTGTAATTGCTGATGATCAGAATAAGTTCATCAGCTCTCCTCTTGCATTCTCCATTTTTCATGCATTTTCAGTGCTTGCTAGGGAATTACTCAGCCAGCAAACTATTTTTAATTTCTGTTACTCTCTTCATTTGTATTCACGTGTGTGCCTGAGTCAGCTTGTTGCATGCATTAGTTTCCCTGCATCCAGCTAATTTGCAGGAAGGTGCATACAGGACAGCGGGTTCCGAGGAAAAGCAGAGTAACGAGTTCAGATGTTCAAATGGAAAAGAATGACAGCACATCCTGCCTCTGCTCTGATCCCCTTTCCCTGCACGGCTCTAATTGGAGGCTGGTGGACGGCCATCTGTCAGCAGTGGCGCAGACTGGGCCACTGTGTGCTGCCGCAGGGGGCCTTGTGTGGTCAGGTGTTCACATCAAACACTCACACCTGGCCCGGCTCTGGGGAGTACAGGTATGTCAGGCTCAACTTTGAACACAGCACTTGCCTTTGCAGTGTCTGATGTAATAGGACATCACATTCCTTTCTCAGCTTCACTGTGCGTGTCTTGGCTGTGTTCTTGATTTTTTAATAAGACTCCTTTCCACTTCTGTAGTCCGATTCTCTTAGACTGTTCTTTCCTTTAGTATTGTATAGATTTTGTCCTCATCCCCAGCCCTCAGGAGCTTGTACCGTAAAGATCTAACAGTGCTACACAAACCGGATAAGTTGTGTGTTTAAGGCTCGGTTCAGTTAGACTACTCTCCTACGAGCTCTGCTTTGTAATTTCAATCTGCAAATTTGTCGTAAACCTTCCTTAAAGCAGTTCATGCTAGAACATTTCTACCTCCCCTTAGTGTCGGGCATTCTCTGAAGGTTTTTTTATCTGAACTTGTCTATCTACAACCTGAAGCTCTCTTGTCTGGTGCTGTGTCAGCTCTAATGAGAGGGCTTCAGAACAAATAATTTATTGTTTCAAGAATGCCACTCTGCATTTTTGTGAAAAAATTGCAAAAGGTTTTTTTAGGTTATTAAAAATAATTGCTTCTTTATAAATCAACTACTCAAAGTATCAGAAACTTGCCCACACAAACTATAGCGTATGAACCGTGGCATTTTTCAGTCCAATTCCAATGATTTGAAAGCATTGATCAGAATCTACAATAATAAGAGCATGAGAAAATGTCATTCTCTTAAAAGTACATATTACAATTGTTTAATTCTGCTATGGGGGTGGCATGGCGGTGCAGTGGTTAGCATTCCTGACTCAATAGTGCTGGGACTCTGGCTTCAGTTCTGGACCTGAGGTGCTACTATATATGTTTTTTCTCTCCGTTTTGCCGTTGGTTTACTCCGGGTGCTCCAGTTTGCTCCCACTCTCCATAGACATACTGGTAGGTTAATTACCTGCTGGGAAAACTGGTCCTAGTGTGAGTGAGTCTGTGTGTGTGCACTGTGATGGACTGGCATCCCAGCCGATAGGCTTCGGCTCCCCCAGGGCTCCTGCAGTTCTTAGAACATGAGCAGCAGTTTGGATTGAGAGAGCACCACCCCTCTCTGGGTGTGTCTTGATTTTCTGGGAAAAGGGCACCGCTGTTCTCCTTTCTCTTATGTGATGCGATGATATAATAAACTCAGAAATATAACCTGTTTCTTAAGGTTAAATATAGTGACAACAGGTTAAATATAGTGGGGGTGGTGTGTCATTAAATATGGCGGCTGTACGGACCGGGATGGGCTAATTAAAGAGTGTGTGTGCTGAAAACAGTCAGTCCTTCTCCTTGAAGACCAAAAAGCAGCCTGTTGTCTGCCATTAGCTGTGATGCCCTCTCCCTGCCCCCTTCCCACAAATACAACGGGATGTGAATAAGAGGAAACAGTTCATTTCAAAGAGCATTGTTCAGCACAGTTCTTTTCTTAGTAAGATTTCCCTGGATGGCATCCTTCCAAGACTTGATGTTGTGGCTCTAGCCAAGATACTAGGTTGTGGGTAGCCATGGTTCTCTCAGCAAATCGTGATATAACACGTCCAGGCTCCACAGGTGGAAAGATAAGGTTTAAAGATTTTAATTGAAAGAAAAATGTTATGCTTTCTTAGTGCTGCCTGGTGAAAATAAATATCAACCACATTCTTTAAAAAAAAAGTGAGTGCACTACAGTTTTTGCTATAAGGTTCATTGACAATATTACTGATCAAAGAAAAAAGTGGTTAAATGTCATGTAGATAAAAAACAGGTGGTTTTGTCATGCAAACAGGAGATGTTTCACTTGGAATAGGGTTATGGAAAAGCATATTAAGTTTTGAACAGAATTACAGAATTTTAAAGAAATGGAACATCTTGGAAATTGCCTTTTGTTTATCCACTCAGCTTTGATCATGTCTCGGTACTGTCCCCTGCCACTGCCTAATATTGACTAAATTAGCTGTGCTGGTGCTTTCTGCTATAACCCTTGTATGTGCAGTGGGCAGGCATGGACTGTGCATTATTGCCTCTTGAAAGGGTCAGGCCTTTTCCATCCCTGTCCTTTTCCATCCTGTGACTCCCAGTGTAAGAGTTCAAATTAAGCAGAGGTGTAACAGTGCTCTCAATGCATGCTCATAGACACTGTGACAAGGGCACTGTTGTGCAGTGAGTTGAAGATGTTGTTGCCAGCTCATGCCAACCCAACAGCCTAACTGCACACTACTGTTCAGGGAATCCCAGTCACATCTGGCTAACCTTGAAAGAGGCCTGACTGAGAACTGAGATATCAGAACTGCAGGTCCTCAGCCTGTACTCATAATGAATGGATTGAGCCACTTGGGAGACACTTGGTATGTAACTTATATTATTTCACAATTTTTGTTTGTCTCCAGAAACATTACTTTCTTGCTGTAAAATAAAAAAGCATGCACATATTTGTGCAACAGGCAGTTCAACATTGTAATCAAATATATGTCTATACAAAACCTGACACTGAAGTACAGTAACTGTCTCTGCACTCTAATTGCATCTCTGATATAAAAACCTGGATGACTCAAAATTTCCTTCACTTAAGCATTGACAAGACTAAGGTCATGTTACTCAGCATCTCCCATCACCCGTGTAAAGCCAGTGGAGTAACCCTATCTGTTGGTGCCACTATGCTTGAATTTCAATCAAAACTGAAGAATTTAACAGTGATAATTCAATTCTGGCTTGACTTTTGACCCTCATGTGCAGACAATTGTACAAACATCGTTCTTCTGTCTCAGAAACATCTCCAGACTGCATCCTATGTTGTCTTTCACTGTTGCAAAAAAGCTGGGCAACATATTTCTTTTTTCTAGTATTGACTACTGCAACTCTCTAGTTCCTTTGGTATCTAAATCCACACTAAACAAACTTCAGCATATCCAGAATCTGGCAGCCAGAATCTTG